AGTTTTTTTTTAATTTTTTTATGAGAGTTTATTAAAAATTTAATTTTATGATAATTTTTCTTTTAATTTTAAAAAAATAAGAGAAAATAGACATTATTCTCTATATATATATATATATAAACTTAATATCATTCCATGTACCGTTGCAAAAAGAACTGTAAAGTGGACATTTTTTTTTTCTTAGCATATAGAGTTACGGTTTTTTCTATTGAGGCTCCTCATAAAAGGAATATTTATTGTTTGATTATTATATTTTTTGATAATTAATTATGTTAAATATATAAAAATTAACCTTCATTTTATCAATGTTGACTTTTTCAATTTTAAAGTAATTAACTGTTTAAAAATGTTTAATTAGATAATAAATATTCCTTTATTATGGGTAGGTGAGGGCATACTATAAAAAACTGATAAATATGTATTAAAGATTGAATTATAAATTTATGATATAAAATGTAAACAGTTTTATTACTTACTGGTCTATATGCCTCCTAGTACTTGAAAATTTTTAATGATTATTATGTAAAGTCAAAGTAATATGTGAACTAAAATATTATTAGAACTAATGCAAGTAAATTGGTGTGAACTTCATTCCTTTAAATATTAGAAGTTCGTTTTAAATCTGAGTATTACACAAGAATTAAATGAGTAAATGAATAGGATAGTCAAGTGATTTACAAATAATTTTTAGGCTTGTGCAAATTGCTTCAAAATACCTTAACTATATTTAAAATTTTAAATCAAAAAAGAAAAAAGAGGGTTTAAATACAATATTGAGCATTTCAAAAGGGTTATTACAAAATAAATTATTGGACGTGTGACATGTGATGTACATAACAAATGTACACCTAATTATGTTTATCTTGCTATATTCCTACATGGCTTCATCTCATCTTCATCAACATTTATATTTGTTATCTTTATGTCTAACAGCCTGTTTTATTTTGAGAAGAGAAAAGGAAAAAAGAAGAAAAATAATTATAATTAATTAAATTATTTTATTATTTTAATAATTAAATTTAATTAATTAAAATAAAATTACCTTTTTTTTATATCTCTCTTCTTTTATTTTTCTTAAACCAATCAAGCTATGTGTTTACACCTAATTTTATAACAAATAGAGTGTTGTTACGTGTCATCCATGTTGACAAATATTTTATTGGTTGAAAGTTGGTGTGAATCTTTTCAAATAAGATTGAGTGATTATTTCCACAACTACAGCAAAACCTTTCTCTTGTTGCCAGCTTTCAGGAGGATAATCAACGGCATAAACAAATTAATCAATTTGTATCAGATATCATGCTGTCGTTGGTTTTTCAGGATGTTGCTGCAAATCTCCACCATGTTGCCAAGGTGCTATAAATACCTAATGATAAGATCAAGCAAAGGATCGACCTCTCACACAACAAACTCAGCACAATTTCTTTTTATGCTTAGATTTATCTTAGTTTCAAGCCCTTTAGTTTATTTTCAGCTCTACGCTTCAGTCTAGATTAGTTAGTAATTCAGCTATTCTCCTGTTGGATTTGTAATGGTGAGTTTCATTGCCTTTAGTAGTATTTCTTTGTGATCAAATTGCTTCCTTTCCTTTTCTATTTTCCAAGTTTCTTTTAATTAAATCAAATGATGTCGACATTTAATTTCATGTTCAATTCCATTTCTGTTAATTTATATTTCATGCTGCCAGTAGATTTTCCTTGTTTCTGGTTTTATTTACTTTAACTTAATTTACTTTTGCTGCAATTAAATTTCCTTTTAAAGCTATCTTTAAACTCAGTTTACGTATTTAAAATTTATTTAGATTTTTAGTAGTTTAGAGATCATTTATTTTCCTTGCAGTCTTAACTTTTCTTAATTACATTAGTTTTGAGGAGTCCTTAGAATTACATTCAGGGCATTTTGTCATATAACCCATTTAGTGTAAGAAGTTCATCCCTTGTTTCTGCCAATCATCTAATCTTTAAAGCGCAGTTTATGATGTTCTTTCATTAATTCACAAACTGAGTTTCACGCTTGAAAAAAAGAGAGGATCGTCGAAAAAATCTTTCTTATTTTAAGTAAAGAAAGTGACACACCATTTCATCTATCACATGTCAAAAATTTTTTTTGAAATAACACTATGTAAGTCTTTACTTCATCTTCATATAGCGGTTAATAAAAAAAAGGCGGAGGAGTTTTTATTTCATTTATCATTAAAAAAGAAAAAGAAAAATAGTCTTTAAAATGTGGATATGGTAATGGAATCGCATTCCTGATTAATGGTCATCCAGATCAAAGTCAACGGTCAATGTTGCACTGAGCCTTGGGTGGGTCCACCATCCACAAACCAGAACCAATAATGGGATAGCATTTGAGGGGGTGGGGCCAGGCCATCAAGCAAAGAAGGATTAGATATGTTGCTTGTGGCAGAGTGTTCCATCATACGGGTGGGTCCAATCCAAACCCCCCCTCGGACAGCCTGGATTTAGACATAACGTGGTCCACGTGTACGGTTGATGTTTAAGTTTAGACAATCAGTGTTTTTAAAGTCATACCCGGTCCCACGCGCAGGTTTTATTTACCCAAATGCGTTTCTGTAATCCCCACTTTTCAGCCGTTTTGTTCGTTCTCATATTTTCTCACCCTCAAATCACGGCGCGTGTAGCGCGTAGGCCCATATCGGTAAATGTCGTCTCTGTTCTCTGGAATTTCTTTCTTTCAGAAATTGGTCCAATTATTAATTGGGCTTCGGCCTGAAAACTGTTTTGGGCCTTTAAAAAAATATCGGGCCCGTTTGAGCATTAGTTCAAAGTTTTACCCACAGATTTCATCTCATCCTCTCGTCTCAATGAACAGATGGGATTCTATTAATTAATAGAAAGATAATTACTAATTACTTAAATAATTTAATAATAATTTTTTTTTATGACAGTAAAACGATATGAGATCAAATCATATGTGAAGTGGGGTTAAGGGACGTGAAAAAATTACCTTGCATCATTCCACTCTTGATAAAAAAAAAAGAAAATCGAAAGAAAAGAAAAGATAATCAAACTCACGTATGGTATGACATTTTGTATGAAAAAAATAAAATAATTATTCGTGTACAAGTAGAGGTTAGGGCATCATGCTTATGTAAAGACTATACATCAAAATAACTATTCATGTAAAAAAATGCAGTTTTATCTTCTTATATCTATTATTGGCCGCAGAATTAGATGGTAAGATTCTCCTGAATAGCCAGGAAAGAGCCAACAATATTTCCACCAACATCTGGGAAAGTTTCACATCCAGGGAGAGGCCTGACCTTGCCCTTTCGATCAACTTCAACAGGATACTTCATCAGGTGTGCCGTCATCTCTGTAACTTCATCAGCTGCAAACTGTTTCCAGTTCATCTCAGACATTGTCTTAACCCGTCTCACACATTCCAGACTCTCTGGTTCTGTGAAGCAGTCCTCAATGACTCCTAGATGTTCCGCCCATAGTGACATCCTATATCCATAAACCTATAAAGAACAAAATTTGCACAGAAGAATGAGAGTAAGGCACTGATCTACTGAATGACAGTAACTATAAAGACTAGTTAAGTATTTCTTTCACATTGGCTGAAAGAAGTTAGGCCAAAGATGTGTGATCTATCATCGCATGTCACCTATGTTACCTGTCCATGTGGATTAGATTGGTATCTTTCCCAGGTATGATGAGGCTGGTAAGCTCCCATTGCAATCTCAGTGTCTCTGGTGCCCTCCATTGAACGCTGATTGATGTTTGCAGACCCCAATATTACATACTCATCATCAACTATCATACCTTTTGAATGGACATAAATCATAAATCGCCGACTTTTTTGAGTAAGTGCCTACACATTACAACATCCACATTAGCAGCATGGGTGAAGCTAAGGTTCCAAAAATTACAGTATGCTATTATTGGGTGTCAGGAAATATAGTGATGGCAGCTCCATCTTTCTTTTTATTCCGTTTTTTTCTTTTCTTAAAAAAAAAAGGACCTTTTCTTGATATTAAGGGATATATAAATTGATACCTGAGGTGTATTTTGAGCATTAGGACTTCCACCGCTAGAAGGGTCAAACCCATCCAATGCCTCACGATTGCCAAGACAGAAGAAGTTCAAATAGTCTTGGGGTGTGAAAGAACCCTCAAGCCCTGCCTCCACCAGAGCCTTATAGACGGTCTCGTACATCATTTGCATGGTTTTATGCTGCAAGCAATAAAATTATTCAAGATTATCCAACAAGAAGGAAGTGCTCAGCAGATGAATAATGATCTTGGTTTCAATTTCCATGTCTGCGGTTAAAAAATACCTGCCAAAACAGAATCCTTTGAGTGGCAGCACCAGTTGGAACGCCCTCTGGCCACATTGGAATAACAATGTAAACAGCAAATCTCTCATTTGCTTTGATTTTACTGGCAATCTTAAGAGCTATTTCCATTGGAATCAAATTATTTGCACCTGAACAATATTAAAGTTTCAGCATTAAGCAGAAGGACAATAGTGATAAAAACTCGAGGAAATAGCTCGTTATTGCTATCATCTCCTCGATCCATGGATATCACCAATAGAAGAAAAAAAATTGCTTAAAAGTGCATAAGAGGGTTGCTAAAATGAAAACACTCTTGTATCCAGATTGTGCCGCACTTGCCTACATTCCTACTCCAAATTTATTATTCTTAATTGACATTTGGATTCAATCCCAGGTTTACAGTCGAAACTCAAATGTTGCATGGACATTTGGTAAATTGATTGTATAAGTACAACCAACATATATTTAGTTTGAGTCCACAACAAAACGCATTTAACGTTAACAAGACAAGTAATTCATGCAGTAGAAAAGTCGATAATACAATAAAAACCAATTTGGTTAACAGAAAGTGTTGTCATAAATAAAGAAATGATACTTGTGATAATTAAGTTCCTCACCCAACTCCTTATTAGAACCCCAATTGTAGGAAGACCCAATGAAATACTGATTCTCAATGTAAATATAGTGCTGAGCAACACGAATGGCCTTCACATATGCTGTATGTATGCTCATGTCAATAAGTACATTTTTACCACAGACCAGGCTCTGTACAGGAAAACAATCAGAATCAACTTCCAGACATGCATCAGCATTCACCACACACACACTCTCAAACAAAAATGGTACAACATGAGGGCCTATAAAGAGGTGAAAATCACAAAGTGAAGTTTCCTCTCACCTTGCTCGTGGCTTCTTTTGGATCCTTTGGAAAGCCATGAACGGAATTTGAATCAATTGAACGAAAAATCTGAATTTGGGAAACCCAAGAAGAATAAAAATATTATTTTATTAATTAGCAGAGGAAAGCAAATTCAAGATAAATTGCTCTAAAATAATAGGTTTTTTTGAAAGCAAAAATTGAACTCAAGACTTCAATCTCACTTCTCTCTCATGGGAAATTACCTGAACATGCCATTCTTCAGGATCATTCTCATTGGTGCAGGGAACATCAGACAGCCCTATGATATCTGGAATTCTTTCTAACCTGAGCAGAGCATCATCATATGACTTCTTCAGCTTCTTGATCCCTTTGGGCTTTGCAGCCTTCATCCAGCGCTCTTCAAAGTTAGTCAGTACATCATAGGCAGCTGGACCGTCAATTTTACAGTGCAAGTCATGCCATGGTTCTCTAGGACAACCAGCAAGGTTTCCCTGTTCAAGAAATTAAAACGCATAGATGATAATAACTAGACAACAAAATCATCTCTTCCACACTGCAGAACTATTCAACTCAACAGGATCCTAAAAATTATAGAAAAGAAATGTTAAAAGTTACCGTAAAAGTGGGGTTGTGATAGTCATCCTTGTGTGTTGTTTGGAGTGTCCTGAATGTAGGATGTTGTGGAGTATCATATCGACCATCACATAAATCAAGTCCACCAACAAAAGCTACAATTTTTCTTCTGTTATTTCCAGCATCAGCATCCACGATTACAGTTTTCTGGTGATGTGTATAAATTGTTTCAACTTCCTGAAAACAAAAATGTCAAAAGAAATTAAGTTCACAGAATTACACAAAAACAGTAGAACAAGACCAAAGCGATGCAAACACTTAGCATGTGCACAACAACAAAAAAGATGTGTATGAGAGCATCATTTAATAAAGAATTCAGTTCATATAAATTACTCCCTCCATTCATTTTTGGTAGACCTAGTTTTACTTTTTGACTTTTAGAACGTGAATTTTAGATGAAAATTTAACAATCTATATGAACAACAATTATGAATTTTTTTGACCAAATAAAAATACTTAACAAGAATTATATGCAGAGATAAAAAAAATTTCAAATGTTGTTCATATAGATTGTTAAATTTTCATCCAAAATTCATGTCCTAAAAGTCAAAAAGTCAAACTAGAGCTACTAAAAATGAATGAAGGGAGTAGAAACATAATGCAAAATATCATTTTTGAAATAGGACGCGAACCAATGCATCTCAGTGCAGGTCTTAGCATGTTTCAGATGAATAGTGCAGAATGGAACTGCCATATACTCAGCCAATGATCTAATGCACATGAAAATCTCAATGATGATCACATCTCTTTATTTCCTAATGTTATTCGTGCACTGAATAAAGGAAATAAAATAAAATCAAATATGATGCAGAAACTTTAACACATTAGGCATTTATAGTATGGACCAGGATAAAAAGGGGGGAAAAAGAGGAAGAAGGGCTAAAAATAAATGGTCAACTATGCCATACCCTCTGTTTGACCCAGCTATGTCTTTTTCCAGCAATACGTGGACATAGTAGCACTTGCACTGATGAGTGTTTGAAAAACCTACGTGTTTCCTCATCATGGGTTTGCATTATTCCATCCTGCATTAGTTAGGTCATTCAGCATAAGAGTTAAAAATGAGCATCAGCCTGCTAGCTTTCTTTATGTCAATCATTATCTTAATCTCAGTTTTAAGTAATAAAAAAACCAACCCAAGAAGCCATGCATACACATCTATGAAGGCCAAAGCTGACCCAAAAATGATAGCTAAACACTGTCTGCATTGTCTCAATTTTATCATTTAACATTGCAATATGTCATTTTCTTCATCAGCCTGTTGTTCACAATGGTCCCTCTGCACTTTTCTTGTATTTTTATTATTGAAATCTGAAGTCTCATTTCTTCATTTTGAACCAAGGCTATAAGTGCATGAGTTTAAGGTAAACTTTACTAATTGGAGTGACTGAATGGTTCTAAACACACAGAAATGATTAGTGATTATTCACCAAGCAATAATCGTACAACAATAAAATAGACAAAAAAAAAAAATTAGTTACCATTTTGTATCCCAAAATGTTTCTTGAAGTAGGATCATCCCAAACAAGAAGCAGCACCCTGACTCCTTCTTGGGACTTGGACCTGAGAAGATCTCCAAGGGTGCTACCTGATGCAGGATTTCCAGGATCTCTTACCAGTCTTACATTGTGCCAGACTGACCACCCCGTGATGTAAATCAAGCGCGTTGCCTGACGAACTGCATCAAATATGTCATGCCAGCACTTCCCATGCACATAATTCATCCCCCAATCAAGTTTCAAGGTTGGAAGATAACCATCAGGAACATGGGCATCTTGATAAAGGGTCACCCTGCCACCCTTCCTTAAAGGAAAATATGTGCCAGGAACACCAGAATAAGTGGGACCAGCCCCAACTCCCCGATGATAGACGCTCATGTTCTCGATTGGGGTATACTGAATAGATAGTGTCAACACAGCTCCCTGCTTACAAGGTTTTCTGCTATTGTTCAGAATTGGGTATGTTCCCTCAACTTTCAACCCTGAGTATATATCTTGAACTGGGATTGCCACGACTCCTATCAACTGTGACCCCACAACATCACTATCTTTGACAAGAAACTGCACTTCTGCAGCATAATGTGCAACAGGAACATAGAAGTGTTGCATCCAAACAGGATTTTCACTATTGCTAATCACATAAGTCCTCCCCACTACAGCCTCTGCAACTTTAATTGAGACATAAGGGTCACTGGTAATTTTCTGATTCATGTGCCCTTCAATCTTGTTGGCAACATTCCCTGGCATTCTTCCAAACATGTCTCCTAAAGTCTTATGGAATTTATCCATGTTGGGAAGATTCTTTGCTTCATAAACACAAATATCTAAATTTCCATGAAAAAGCAAAACTTTTAATGACCCTTTCTGGAATGACACAATCTGCATGCTTTGGGTCTGTGGTGATCCGGTAAATGAACCAGAATGTGTAAGACCAGAATAATCAGATGAACCAGAATAATCAGACGAACCAACTCGAGCCATATAAGATCCTTCCCAATTGCTTGAGAAAGAGTCATTAGGGTATCCATAAAAACCAGCTTGACTATCATGCCTCGAACTTGGAATCTGATCACCAGGAGTTAGTGGAGAAGGGGGCAATACAGGCACTGAAGGTGCTGGAGGCAATGCAGGAGCACTTGGGCGGTTATCAGACAAATGCACATTGCTCAAAAGGTCATCCAGGGGCGGATAAGCAGAAGCGTGTGTGGGGGTAGTAGTAGTACTGTTAAAACTACCATAGTTGGTTCCTGACACCGCTGCACTCTCATGCCTGTGATGATGGGAGAAGCTATTGCTTCCGGAAGACAATGGAGAGGTACTTTCAGGAGAAGGGTACGAGACAGGATGTTCATAATAAGAAGGTGTGTGGGAATTACTTTCAGGAGGAGGGTATGAGGCAGATTGGTGTTGCTCCTCAAAACGGTAAGAAGGATGGAAACTGTTATGGTGTTGAAGAGTTGTTTGGGGAGAAGTTTGAGGGGCTAGACTAGGAGGAGCCTGGTATCCATACGGAGAAGGAAGAGGGCCAGAATGAGAGTGGTGATTGTAGGGATCTGGATAAGAGGGTGGAGGTGGGTAAGCCGGAGAAGGATATGGGTGATGTGGAGAACCATATGGGTGATAGGGAGGAGGAGGAGGGTATGGACCTTGATTTGGAGGAGGGTATCCATAAGGGTAAGCATATTGATTAGTGTTAGGGTAATTATTATCCATCTACAGAGACTATATCAATAACGATCCTTTGCTATGCCAATCAAATACAAAATCAAATCTTTCTTGCAAAAGCTAACAAATTGAGCAACAAACTATACCTCAATCCAATTTCCTAACAAAATTGAGCTATTGAAATTGAATATTCCAAAAAAAAAAAAAAAACCCTTTTTTCTTTCTAATCGAAGAAGAGGGTATATCAAACTGGGTATAGATGATTAAATAAAGCTCACAGATTGAGGAGGAGGAAAGGGATTACCTTTGGAGTTCAATAATTCAAGGAAACGAAGGGTTCGTTAATGGAAACCATTGAAGAAAACGCTGAAAGTGAATGATAAAGAAAAGAGAAAACGTAAAAATCAGAAAATCTCCGGCGTGTTGATGGCGCGTCACGGGCAACCTAAATCGGCGATTTCAAGGTTCAGCCGCATGCGGTCTTGGGGGCTTGTCTTTCGATTCTGTTTACCTGTCGAGGAAGAAGCCGGCCACAGTTGGCAACTTACACGTGGCGGATATTAATTGGCGGTCACTTATGGTAAAATAATCAACTGAGTGACAACTGACAAGTCATTTTCATTAGGTTTTTTCAATACCGTGATGATTAGTTGTGATTATTAAATTATTTATTATAAAATAAAATTTTATTTATACATAAATTTTATATATTTTATTTATATAACATTTTAATTATTTATTTTTTCTTTCAATAATTTAAATTTATTTATATTTATTAAAATTAATTATTTTTAATCTAAAAGTCTTTAAAAAAATTTTAATCATTAAATATAAAATATAAATAATTAAAATTTTATATAAATAAAATATAAAATATTTTTAT